ATATATATATATAAATGTGTGTGTGTGTGTGTGTGTGCATGTCTTTCGTAAACATTCATTGGAAACTGGAAACGCTTATAGAAATATATCAATGACCAATTATATGCAATCTCTTATTCATTTTTGACCATGAAACAAGTTTATGTGATTCCATCTCCACCAAGTACAGCATGTTATTCACTAACTATACCTGTACATCGTACATGATGGATAGTTCATGAAAATTAACAAATTCACATTTTAGATCCAAATGATTTAAATACAGTCCGGTAATATTTAGGTAATAAACAGCGTTACAGTACTTTAATGTTGTGTTAGTGTAAGAGTGTTCTTTTCTTCATCGTTTCTATGTGAGCTACCTTGATATAGTCTTACAATGTCCTTGTGGTCCTGCATGAACATCTTGAGCTACAAAAAGAGACAAAAAGAAGTGTATGTTTGTGTGTGTTGAGCTCATTTCCCACTTCAGATTCTGTCAATCATCTGTCAAACCTTACAAACCTTGTCCAGTTGTGTGTCGGTGTCACTCAGTGGGACGCCTTTCTCTCCATCCACGTCGCCGCCCGTCAACTCGTAGAGGTTGAGTGCTGCCATCTTGATCAATCCCAGCAGCAGCGTTTCCTTGGCTGCAGTGCCTTGAATGTGTTTCCACTTTGTCTCCTGTATGAAGGGAAGAGCAGAAACGTGACAAAATCATCATACAACATTCCACGTAGAGTTCCTCTTTGGCAGGATTAGCTTTGATACCCAGTGTTCCATTTCGGGTTGTGCCCTGTCCAGTTTGTGGTGCAGCTGTGACAGCTGGTTGCTGCACTGCAGAAGCATCAAGCGATGTTGGCTGTTGAAGGTCAGCAGGGCTTTCCTCTGCATGTCCACCTGCTCCTCGGCTAACCTCTGCTTCTCACAGAGCTGCTCCCTGATGCGAAGAAGATTCTCCAGATGACCTGCCAGAGATGCTTCATCTTCAAACTGTTGACACAAACATGACACGGGTCAAAATTGCATTGACTGATCCTCTCAAAAGGGCCCCATAAAATGTTCACAGCGCTGGTGGTATCATGAAACATATCGGCCACATTTTCTGATTTGAAAAAAAAATATATATTATGGTCAGTAACTTTTGTGTATACTGTATTGAATGATGCCAAAGCTTATTTCAGATGACTTTGGGGTGAGAGGCGAGTACACATCTTTCCCCAGTCAAAAATTTGCAGAACTGAAATTCGAACCTCACAACTGTGAGCAGATGTGCTGAGAAATGCACGAGGAAACTACTTTAGGCTATTAACGGTTTTACTACAAGACTAAAAGTAGACTATAGTTTGTATATAGAGCTCTATATTGGTACGGTGGACCGAGCCAATTCGTGATGAAGTTTCGCGAATGGCTTGGGTCACCGAGAAAGTGATTCTAATTGCCTCTATTGAGTTTAAACCACAAATATGCCACAACCTATGACTGCAAAACATTCTGGAGATACTCATAGAATTTCACTTACTTGCAAATATAGACAGTGTTGTACTATACTTGTGTGAACAGTTCAACATTGCTGTGCATCAAGGTTATCTCTCACGTCAACCTTACCCGTGTTAGCTTCAACGCCTGTTGCATGAAGTCCCGATACACTGCGTCTCTTTGCACGCGATGAAGGAGGTGGTGTTTTCTGCGCTGCAGTTGAGTGTACTCCTCCTGCAGAATCTTCACCTCCACCTCTTTCTTGTTTGCTTCTTTCCTCTCTAGTTCTGCCCTTTTCACCATCTGAGCAGCATCATGTTCCTACACACGGAGATAAGTTGTTTTGTGGGGACAATGAGCAGAAACCCACAATTGATTGTGCAATCATTCGTGGATTATTATAATGCATGCCTGGGGACTCGCTTGTATTGCATTGCGTGTTTTGTGAACTAAACAGTTTTGCCATATTTACTGTTGATGAAATGTACGTCTTAAAAAAAGATGAGGCACTGAAGACAATTCTTTTTTCTAAATTTATACTCGGATCATCCTTGATGTATCTTACATCAAGGCAGACTCTCTTACTGGTTACTTCATCATGAATCAATAAAGACTGCCTTATCTTGACACAAACACAGATAGAGTAAATGTGATGTTGGCTTAAATTTCATGTCGGAAAGGCTAAAATGTATATCTCAAGCTTAAGTATTGATTTTTTTTTCCTGGAGCTGTTTCACTGCCAATGGCAATTCATTTGGATTTTTCCAGTTCTCTTCAATAATATGAAAATAATGTTCACTGCACGCCCACGAACCTCGAGAGAATAAGTGGCTCGGATAAAGGTTAGATGGATGCAACAAAGTCAAAAGCTATCTGGCGAAACGCTCAAACACTGTTTAGCAAAAGTTAATGTACGTATTTGGGGATGGATAGAAATGTCAGTTTTTAGAGCTTCATATTATCTGGGGAGTTGCAAGGGAATTGTACAAAAATTAACTTTGGTTCCACTACTTCAGTACTGCAGATTGAAAATACTGTAGGATTTTCTTGGACTCCAGTCAGTCATCAGCCCTTAGAATCCAAACGGTGCCTGTATATCCTTCATGATTTGAGATCACAGCCAGATGACAATGTAACACATTTGTTTAGAATATTCATGTTGAGCATCATAATGAGGTCTTGTGTAAAACTCGACTTTACCTTTGGAGAAATGTCAAAATTTGAGATTAATTCCTTGGCCTCCTTCGCCTCCTTTAACAGCTTATCTCCACACTGTCGCAAACTCTCCAACTTCTTTGAGAACACAACATCAGGCACACAATTACTTTGGGAATTGGAAGTGACAATGAACGTTGTCCTTGTTGTAATTGTAAATAAGTACCAGATTTTCGTCAGAGACAGACAAAGACACAGCTATAGGAGACAGAGCAAAGCAGAAGCAGATCTGGAAAATATTGCTCGAGAACCAAACCACTCAAGCACCATGATGAGGAAACAGACGCGCTGCACACAGGTTAAAAACAAAAACAAAAAATATTTTGATCACTGCTGACCAGAAATTAATTACTTTCACCCTGGGGTTGAATGCTAATCACTTGCTAGTGTATGACGAAACCCCGAACGCCCCCCACAGCCTCCTAAATTGGATGCCTGGTCAATCCCACCACCCCCAATTTACGCACGCCACTCCTCACCCACGATAACTTAAAAAAAAATAAATTAAACAGAATTATGTAGTTTTCTGTTGCTGTCAGTCAGCCATGTGGCTTTTTTTTGTCAGCTCACAACGTGAGCAAAGCTTTGGGAACACGTTGATTTAATGGCATAAAAGCCCAAATCAGTCCTTCTACTTTTACCAGAGCCTTTTTTTCTGCACAGGTATTGGCACTGAAGTACTTTAGCCGTTTTCCACTGCGTACCTGTAAGCACTGCTCCTGTATAGCCACGAGATGTTCCTGCTCCTGGCGAGCCTCCATGATTTCAATGAAAGTGTCGTTCCTGTCGCGGTACCTCCTCGCTGTCCCCGCGCAGCGTTCACCCCCAGACATGCTCCACTTCACACTTGAAAATAGAAAAAAGAGGTTAATGAACATTGATAGCTCTCACACGGGCTCTGGCCGAGTTTCACAGTTTCGTGCAAATTTACTGTGAAATAATCCTCCCGGGGGAGCTCAGAGATGATTAATTAAATATGTCGAATACTCACGCAGTGTTCAATTTAGAGGTTGACTGTGTTCCTTTGGTTTGCGTTGGTGTCACTTGTCGAAATCTTTGTCAAGCATTGAGTTGACGCTGAGGTACTTCCGGCCGGTTGTTGCTATGGTAACTTGTCGACAGTCGCTTAACTCTTTATATTTAGTTCATTTTTGTCCACCGGGGTAAGTATGAACACATGGGCAAAAAAATGCACTTAAAAATATGTTTTGAACATTTTATTCCATTGGTATTATTAACAACAGCAAAAGTGCTTAAACATATAAAAAAAAAACAAATTAATACTTCGATGAACAACGACCATCATGGCCAACATTAAAAATTAAGGTAGGCAAGGCACGGCAGTTTTATTCATAGAGCACATTTCATACATAAGGAAACTCTGTACACTGCACTTATAAGCATTTACAAACACGACAGTTAAAAACATGCAAAAGAAAAGCAGAACACACTGAAGTAGCTTACAAAAATTACGAGAATGTATTGACATCAGTTAAAGACAGAAACAGAAAACTTAAACAAAATAGTCGGTTTTTACATGTACAATTTTACATTTGCACTGCACTTAAATGTAAATAACAAAACAAAAGATAGCATGCGAATCATTTTTCATTTGAAGTAAACTTTTGCACACAGACTAAATAAAGACCGAATAAACATTTTCAAAAAGTTGTAAAATATATTTTACTTAAAAGTGATATTTAACTTGAACTCTACTTACCAAATACTGTGCTGTGTTTAAAAAAAAAAGTTTAAGTCTCATTACACATTTTAGAATGTGACAAAACTAGAAGTTGCATATGAGACTTAAATAATGATGGCATGCATTGATGGCCTGACTGACAAGTGTTACAGATGTGAAACGTGTGACTTTTTCACTTAAAGCACAATTCACACTTAAAAAAATCACACCCTTGGCCGAAGCACACCACACCACAGCACATGGCTACAAGACACTCGCATCAGACTGACACAATGACATTTAGCATTATGAGTGTGTCACGCATTGTTGTAGAAGACCATTTCATGTAGCTATAAACTACTTGTGATAACAATTTCATTGTGTACTACTTAAAATATATACTGGACCGTTCATTAGGTATACCCGTACAATCCAACGAGATTCAGTTCACAGGATGTATCAATTATGATGCCCTTGAAAGATAACATCAAAGCTAAAATTTGAATTAATCAAAACTGCTATGCGCACAAAAAAATGTCTTATATTCATCAGCAAATAAGACTAAATCTAAAATATATTTCGAGACTTGTTGTTCTCACCTCTCAGGGAAAGTATGGTGCGCCCAGGTTACAAGATTGTAACACACAAGACAAGGCGACAGAGGCAGGTGGCGGTAGCCCACATAATGGAAATGTTATGTGCTGTTCTTTTTGCATCATAATTACCAGGTGAGACGCGAATGGCGAAGCAGACAGAAGCGACATAGAACAACCGAGAAAATGCATCTGCTGATTTAAAATGATTTAAATATGTACACACACACACACACACACACACACACACACACACACACACACAGAATACGCTTTGAAGGAATAAGAAACGCTTGACCAGAGAGCAATGAAGAGGAAAAACAAAAACACACCGAGATGCCTCTGCATCTATATTTAATGAATGGATAGCTTACTACACACTCACACATACATGCGCATTCACAGAGTATACTTTATTAATACTCATCGAATGGAATGCTATTATAATAAAAGCATGTCGTGTGAGGTGATGGGCCAAGTGTGGGTGTGAGAAGTGGGAAGACATCACACCCATGTTAACATCAGGAGAGCTTTTTAACTGCTGGAAAGAAAAAGGGGGAAATGATAAGTCACTTTTATGGTAAGATGATGGAAACTGCATTGAACAGCAACATTCACCCTCTTTTCTCTACTGGTGAAGGTAATTTTGCTCCAGTTTTCCGCAAAAGTGCCTTTTAATCAGTCACACGTCGACCATATTGATGGAAACAATGTCGTCAAGATTCTTGAACAGATCCAAAGTAAAGTTCTTAATATGTCTCCGAGGTAGTGCTCTTTCTTTCTCGTCACGAACATAAAGACTAGTTTTCCTTGCTTAAAATGTATAATTTATTGTCAAAGATTAGACGGAGAGTGCATAGGAGTATACGTACCATTGAAAAACTTGACCAGCCCCTGACATTGTACCAATGGCAGCAGTTTATAGCAAACACTGTTACTGGTTAGCAACCATGGCAACAGCCAATTAAATTTTATCCACCAAGCGCCAAGTTACTTCAAGGCACTTTTCGGAAGGATCGGGCTGGATCACACTCCTTGTCCATCAAACCGACCCAACAGCAACCCATATGATCAAACACTTTGGCGACAGAAGCAAAGAAAACCCCTTTCCCTTGCCGACTAAGATCCAACACGGCTGTATTAAATCAATTTGTCCTAATAAGAGAGAATTTGATGGAGGATCCGACCCTGACGGTACGAAACCATCAACTGGGACTCGCTCCAACGTCCTGCAATTTATCATTAGGACAAGCAGGAACACAAATACATGGCTGAAGAGATGTCAAGGCACGGGCGCTGCATGGCAGTGTCGTGGTGCATACGGCTGACTCTTTCTGTGAGTGAAAGTGTCAATGTTAGGCTTATTTCTTACTTGTCAAAATGAGCCTCATGATTGACTGGCGAGCGGTCAAAGGAGTCATTTGCCTTTTTTGTAGTCACCTGCGACAGACTCCAGTTCACCTGTGATTCAATATAGGTAACTGCTATCCGGTTTATCCTTTTACAGCTAAATTAACAACGAGCTGCCGTAAAATTTGTTATTTTCGCACTTTTTTTTTATAGCAACTAATTGTAAAAAGCCATGGATAATCATACTTTTTTTTTTTTTTTTACAATTAATTACAGTTTAAATAAAGTTCAATATTTGTTTTTTTAAACATTATTTTCCGTCAGAAAAAATGATCTTTGGTGTAAAATTTAGGGTTACCAAACTGGGATAGCATGTTGGTTGTTCCAGTTTGTCAGTTTTTTTCACGATATAATTGTAGCAACCACATGGCCTCTATTTTTACATCAATTTTATTTTGATGTTTTTCGTACAGTGTAGAAAATGGACGATGGATGCTCGAGCATGTTTCCAACAGTGGGGCAGTGTCAGCATTGGCCATTGGATGTTACACCTATAACACCTCAAATGTATTGACAAACAAAGCTGATATACTTGCGGAAATTCAAGAAGAAACACGTATGCATCCATCCATTCATTTTTTTGATTCACTCATCCTCACAAGGGTCGCAGGGGCGTGCTGAAGCCTGTCCCAGCTGTCTTCGGGGCAGTGGGCGGGGGACACCCTGAACCGGTTGGTAGCCAATCGCAGGGCACACAGAGACGAACAACCATCCGCGCTCACACTCACACCTAGGGGCAATTTAGAGTGTTCAATCAGCCTGCCATGCATGTTTTTGGAATGTGGGAGTAAACCGGAGTACCCGGAGAAAACCCACGCAGGCCCGGGGACAACATGCAAACTCTACACAGGGAGGCCGAAGCTGGAATTGAACCCGGTACCTCTGCACTGTGAGGTCGACGCGCTAACCTCTGGTCCTCCGGGCCGCCGTAATAATCATAAAAAATGTAATATTATAATTTAGTTACATTTATGAATTAAGGGTTGTATTCAACTACAAGTGGATTTTTTTTTTCTGAAACATCATATAGCTATGAATTGCAACGCGTGGTAAAATCCGTGTTGCACAAGTTTCAATAGGTTTACTTAAAAAAATGAATGCATCTCAAAAACCTGATGTGCTAGAAAAAATGTCAAGACATTTTTGGCATCAACGTCAAAAATACATTTAGGGATACAATAAAGCCATCTCTGATTAAAATTTGCTGTTGACCAGTCATTAGTACAGTATAAGACTGTCTCTTTCATTTAAGCAAACACACACACACACACACACACACACACACACACACACACACACACACACACACACACACACACACACACACACACACACACACACACACACACACACACACACACACACACACACACACACACACACACACACGCACACACAAAGGTAACAAACATTTCAGCATCCATAATTCACAGTGTGTTGCAAAGCGATATTGAGAGGAAGTCTGTGTTCATGCAAATGCATCGTCAGACAAAGAGTCCAGCGCCTCCATGCCGCCATCTTTTAATAATGAGCCACCAAGGCAAAGATGCACTGAGTGGGACTCAAACAGTGTTGCTGCTGCTGGCAAACAAAGGAGGCTGACAGCAGGCTGAGTGAGTGCAGTGAAATCAGGCCGCATGTGCACTCAAGGGAGTGGAGTGCAAGAAGAGTACGAATCATTTGTTTGTATATTGATGTTTGTGTTTGGTGTTTGTCTCACAGCAGTGGTCTTGTCTGGCCTGTTTGCAAACATGCCTGAACATGACCCAAAACATGATTCCAGTGGTGCGTTGCATGCTGAAAAGAAGCCTGGCAGATAAGAGGCCAAACAGGCCACGCTTCACTATACAGTATTTATATATATATATATTTTTCGATACTGAACAACATGGGTTTTCTCAATATATCAATATATATATAAGACAAAAAAAAATCTATTCTGTATTTTGTTTTCTGGTTTGCACATGAGTAAATGTTTGACAATGAAATAGTACCTTTGGGATGAATGCATGCAGTGATGTTTTTATTAAAACAAAATAGTGGTGTGCCAACTCTTATAGTGAGGACACATGCCAGTAAATTAGAGTACTCACTCTTTTTCATTTTAAAATGAAATATTTTCTTGAAGTAAAAAAACAGTTTGTGACATCGTGTAAAACACCACGTGGATTGAAATTTTTGCTGGATGCAAAAGCAGCAAAGTTGAGCAACAGATGTTTCCAACGTGATTGTCACCTGTTGCTAGGCAGAGTACAGAGTGCTCAATCAAACCTGCCCGACAGACCAATTTTTTTTTTTACAGATGCCACGCCCACTTGGCTGTTTGTATAGCAAACTTTTGGGAGACAGGGGCATGCCACAGGACTGCGGCACCCCTAAAAGAACATGAAGAAAAAAAAATCCTCATTT